TATATAAAAATATTCAATTTGCCAATAAATAAATAAATATATATGACTAAAACGGTTCTTATCAAAGATAGTGTGTGAATATATCTAGCTATTTTCCTTATTTTTCGTAGTAAAATATCTATTTATATTAATTCCAATTACTAGGATGTCGAATTCATATAACAATAATAATGAGAAAACGATACTAAAATAATATAAATACATAACGGTAGGAAAAAATTAATATCAAGCAGAAAATTCGAATATTTTTTAAGAATATGGCGTGGAATTTGGAATTTAAGATGGACTTTTCATCCAATTTATTGGATGATAAAAATTCTGGATGTCCTACTAATTTGCACAAAACATTGCCAAATTTTGTGTCATATTGACAAGTACCATGTATCATGTTTTTTTTTCGCAATGCAATTTTAACGACTGAGCATACATTGTGTCATAGTCGTACATGTGTGCACCTACTGAAATACTCAGATAACGATTTGTACAATGTGCATTTGGTAGAGATGATAGGAAACAGGTTATTCGTACAACTTTCCATTTTATTTCGCTAGACTAAATTATATTCGCGATCAGCACATACCGTTTATCATGATTTTTCATCTTCAATTTTGATGTGTCTCAAATGTGAACTATTCTGATTTTAGTCTTTTACATTAGGATTTATTTGCGGTAAAAGTACGTAAAAGTGGGTCGGGAGAGTAAACAGAATTTAGTGGCACAGGTTTCATTACTACTTAGAATACGTGCGTTCAATATATTGGAAATCAATGCGTTCTGCAACCTGGGCACTGAAATCGCTTCCTTTAAGCATCTCGCTTCTCCTTGTCCTTCTCAGTTCCCCTTTTTTCTTTCTTTCATTTCACCGTCCTTCTCGTTGTATCTCTGTTCCTCCGTTTCTCCGTCTCTATTTTAATATCGCTGTCATTCGCCTTTCTCGCTTCACCCTCTCTTATACCCGACCCTTCCTCTTTTTTCTCGCTCTATTTCTCCTTACTTTCCATTTTTATCTTTGGCTCCTCGTATTCTCCTCGTCCCCCTCTCTCTAGTGCGCTGTGTTTTGCTGGATTGGTCTCGCTCGCACTCGCTCGCTTTGTCTGTCTCTCTCTCTCTTCCTCTGCCGCTTTGATTCCCCTCGTGTGCACTCGCAGCGCTGGCGGCGGGGCGGCGGTGGCGCCGGCCGCAGAACCAACTAATTAAATAAAGGATTGCGACATACGTCAAGGCAGCTGCGGTGGTTACCGCTGCGTGCGGCGAGCGGTGTGCGTATTTGCGGCATTTCGCTGGCGAAAATACAACCCGCCCGCCCGCCCGCTCGCATCGTTCGTAATACGCGGCGCGGCCGCAAATAGTCCCCGGGCGCTGCTTCGGGCGATTCGCCCCGCCCGCGATTTAGGGCTCTTGTGATAAAGACCGTTATTGATGCTCCGTCGTCCATCAGCCCGGCCGATAAATTCGCATCCACTCCCGGGAGCGCGCTGCGGTAGGCGCGCCCTTTCTCCTCAGCGCTGGAAGACAAGGAATAAAGTGCGCGCAGACGGGTGGCGAAACAGCGGCCGGCTGGTTAATTAATACACATTTGTCGGCTTCTTCTTCCTCAAAACTGTACTCTTTGAGCTACCGTGTGAGTATTAAAGGAGCAAAAAGTATACGGCGTTTGAGTTTGATTGGTTGTTGGAGTATTTCGAACTTTTCCAATAAAATATCATACTGCCCATCAAGATTTCAAATTCCTTTAAATAAATATTCATATAATTAATAATAACAAGTTTTGTATGAGCGTAATTATATAACAAACATTTCATTATTATTTTTCCGAACCTGGGAGCCAAGGAGCAACGGCCCAACGAAACAGGTGACAAAGAAGGATCCATCGTTCATGAATGTACTTTTTATCAACTTCTTCCTCTGGAGACAGTAGTTGGATGTCGTTTGTGATATCTTCTTACTAGAAAACGAGCGAGCGAAGACTATTCGTCCTTCCGGCTTAGCTTGTAGCTCAGAGCCTATGTGTTTTTATGTTGATATATCATATTCTCTGTTTTAATATTTCAAACACTCTGTCAATATTAAATTAATTATAAATAAAAGGATTATATGCACAACGACCTTCTATTATCCTTCATACAAAATGCATTACGCTATGGAATATATTGCCTTGACCGACGTCCGACAGAGAGCCTTGTGAAAGCATTCAGTCTCAAATAATGTGGCTAAATAACGTGGTGCACGTCGTCCACAAAATACTTCAGTTGTAATTGAAGACATCTTGTTTCCGAATATGAAGAATAAAAAAGAAAAGATTATGAGCTGGAAAACTCGTATATTACTGTTGTTTAGCTTTTTTAATTTTGAGAAATACATTCTTCGGATTCGTGGAACTTATTCTGTTAATTAATAATTCCAGAACAATTACACATAATGAAGGAGAAATGAGATTATAAACAATATAACAGTTTGCTATAACTGAATATTGGTTCTTTTCAAAACTATAATGAATTTTCGTGTAAGTTAATTTTAAAAAATTGCATAGGGGAAAGTGTCTCAGTAAGAATGTTCATAACGGTTCCTTCGGTTTTTGGACATTCTTCTTACGATTAACAACTCAAACTTCTGATTCATGTTTATTTTTGGTCCCTTAAGTCATATTTTCCGGTTACTCACAACATAACACAGATGATTCAAACCGTACCTCCAGAAAACTAATGGGATTGAAACAAGTGTGATGAAATAATCCATTTTGGCAACACTGTGCTGTTTCGCTGGGAGTTGATAACTGATGGGCAATTCACCCTCACCGTCACGTCGCGTCGCCTGATACGAGGCCGCCCAGGCACAGTGCAACATGTAGTACGGGATAGAGAAAAATCTGACGAAAAATATTAGGCTCCATCAAAGAAAATTAAATGTGGAGACGTCGAACCTACGCAATATTGAAAGAACTATTTAAAAGGCCGAAAATTAAGGAGAAAATATTCTAATGCTTGAGTCACGTAATTTGAACAAACAAAAAAAGGCCGTTATATATGCATTTGTAAGGAGCAAGGCCAGTGAAGAGATAGAGATGAAATGCTGAGATGTAGGAATATTTGCAAAACCTGTGTGTTAAAGTGGCAAAGAAAAGCAGACAATAGAAGAAATTAGGCTGTTATAAACAAGACGCTAAGGCAAAACTATGAGAGTCCGCAGAGAGCTAATAGAAGAAGAAGAAGGAGAAGAGGAAAAAAAGAAGAAGATGAAAAGAAGAAGAAGAAGAAGAGGAAAAGAAGAAGAAGAGGAAAAGAAGAAGAAAAGAAGAAGGATAGAAGAAAAAGGAGAGGAAGAAGAAGAGGACGAAGAAAAAGTTCTCTTTACCTCGACAAGAAGCAATGGAATTGAAGCAAGTGTGTTGAAATAACCCATTTTGGCGAAGCAGTGCCCTTCCGCCCGGAGTCGGCAACTCACGGAGCCACTGTGCGACGTATCGCTTTGCCCTCGCCGTCGCGCCGCGCCGCCCCGCGTGGCGTCGCCCGATGCGGAGGCGGAGGCGGCGGCGCGGCAAACGGAGACGGCCTCGCGTTTGTCACCCGTCCGAGGTAATCGCGCCCTTATTCCGACGTCAGCCGCGAGAAAAATCTGCGGCCGCCGAGCAGCGCTCGCGTCGCCCGCCGCGCCGCTTCGCCGCCCCTGGGAGCAGCCGGGGAAGGCAGACGCGACCATAGGCGTCACGCGGGTGGCTGGGGGGGGGGCGATCTTCTAGACCCCTAGTAGCTTCACTGAATTTTTAAAAGTATGTAAAACGTTTAAAATTATTTTAATTTAAAATGTTTAATTGCATTTAAAATTGTTACTCCATTAATAATAATAATAGTAATAGTAATAATAATAATAATAATAATAATAATAATAATAATAATAAAGTGTCAATGTGGGAAAACAAATATATGATATAAATAATGAGAAAGAAATCACCTTTTCATTCTACAACATTATCATTTTCGGAAGCGCTGGCACTAAGCCGTGATGGGCCAACGAAAGAAGGAGCGCTGTGTGGCTAATTCTTGGGTTCAGCTTCTCAACCTGTGAGCAGAGACAGTTCAGCTAAAGTGATTTTGTTTCTCCCTAGCGATGCAGAGATTATTTGGTAGGTTACTTTTGCCAGGATGTAACTTTCTTTTGATATCTGAAATAGTAAAATGCAAGCGTTCCATACGTGACTGCAGACTGGGAATTTTCTGCGAGTGAGGCGTATGCGTTTCTGGAGAATATGTAATAATAAAATAATAATGATGATAATGATCATAATAATAGCCATATAAACATTTTTTAATATTCCTTTCATTTCGGGTTATCCGAATGCGTATATTTTAATTCCCTTCCTCCGAAAAAACCGAGGACAGACTCAGACTTCATGTTGCTACGACCAACTTTAGTGACCTAGGGGCAGATTCCAACTTTTGGCCGAGTGCGCGGGGAAATGAGCGACCAGATTTTGGCGTGAGCTTTGTAATTTATCTTCCTGCACGAATAAATCACTTTGGAACCACTACTTCGATGATTGAACATAGAAATAACTTAATTTTGGTTTGTTAGTGATTAAAGGTGTATAAAGTTAAAAAAAGGAAATACAGAATACCTCAAAGAAAATATCAGAGTACAATTGATTCAATTTCTAAACCAAAACCTAAATGAAAGTTATGAAAATCACTTCGTTACTTTGCTTTTAAATTGGAGAAAGCCAACTCTCCAAAATATTATAGATAACATTTAATTTTATGATAATTAACCGTTAATTCTGCTGCAACAGACTTCAGAGAGTTTTGGAGTAACATTTTTAATCAATCAGGTTCATAATGATACAATTTCATAATATAAACGTTGGATGTTTTAGGCAAAAACTGCTCGAGTCGTGTATATGAAAGCAAATAAAATTACAATTTTAAATAAAAGACACTAATTATACATCTTAAACTTTAATATAATTGAACATATCTTTTCAGGATTATTTTCTAACATTTATAATATACTTCTAGGTCTTGTTTCAAATGTTAGAAACACTTAGCAAAAATGTGTTGATGTCTGGGTCGTCAAGAATAAATACTTAAGTAAAGAAGGTCGATCGAATACCGAGTCATTTAATTGATGTAATATTTCCTTAGCATTTTCCATACGTCAATGTTGAAATGATGATAAATAGAGACATAAATATAGCTTCGAGTGCCTCTGAGACCAGAATGATATATGTTTGATGGATAACGATGTCAAATTTGAGATAAGCACTACGAATTTTAGCCGAACATTTCATTACCATTCCATGCAATTTATATCGCTTTGAGAGTGATTACACGTTTCCTTGCCCGATTAGATACAAACCACTCCGTGACAAACGAAATCTCTTACAGAATAAATTGATCAATAGGTGGAGAATTCTGGTGAAGAATAACGGGTTTCTCAGGTGAGGTGAGTATCACATTATTTAGGCTGCCTTATTACCCAACTTTACTCTTAATTAGTACCTTATTATTCCGTGCTCATAAAAAAGTTACTGCAACCATTGCCATTGATATGATTTCATCTCCATCCGACCTATAATTTTATTTGTTTACAGTCATTGAGACTGCAGACGTTCTCAAGGTCTTATCTGATGATTACGTACAGCGTGTTCATAGTCACATAAACAAAGACTACTTATTTTGATAATTTATTTTAGGACCGACTATGGAATTCAGAAGCTCAATGACGTTTGTATATCAACCTCTCGTTCGAAACGTCACAGAGTATCCAGGTTGGGATATTCATTTACTCTAGAGACCGGTGTATGCGAAAATTGAAAACGAAGTTTGTATCATGGGAACAAAAATAAAAATCAATTTATTTTTAACCGTTTTGTGGTACGTAAATATATTATACAAGATGTACACAAAGACGAGTTAGTTATTAACGTACCATATTGTCACAGCAACAATGTGCACTGCATTGATCGTGCGTTATTTTGAACGGCGGTGCAGATTAAATAGGACATGAAACAAAGGAACAGCGCCCGCCTCAGGCGCTTGCAGTCCTGGCACGCCGTCCACAAACGCATTCAAAGACGAAAAACGCAAGTGAACGATGAATGGACCTAACAGGAAATTTACACCTAAAAATGATTTTTTCTCAACGTGGTGGATTTGTTAAAAAAATATGTGTCATTATGAATAGCAATAATGAATTTTTGATATTAAAAATTAATGTTTATGAAGTATAATATAATGGAAATGTAACCAAATATACAATACTCTCTTTCTGATACTATTTCTGATCGTACATGTGAAAGCACTATGATGAATATACAGAACAAGAGTGGCCCGATGACTAAAACGACGTATTATTAACACAATGCGAAATGATTTAAGAAAATAAATTTGAAACTGAAGCTGTTCTAATAAAATGCTGTTTTCAAAAAGTGAATTAAAGAATTTGAGGAGAATGTTAGACCGTTGATTTTGTGAAAAGTATATAACGGTAATTGACGGTAAGTTTCTAATTGCGATTGCTTTTGTAGAAATATTGTACAGTTTTACAAGTAATGATAATATCAAAAAATTGGGACAATATCAAAACCTGACTGATAAAATATGAAAATAAAAGGAACGGAAATTTCTTAAAATGTGTCGTCACTTTCCTAGGGGGAGATAAAATAAAAAAAACAAATTATTATATAAAAGGAAAGTTTTTAGAATCATCCATCTTTATAATATTATTTCTCTCCAAATGCACTTTGAGTACTATTGCCATCTTAGTCAATTAAACGTGTCTTCGGGATACAGTCGTGCACATACGAATTCGGAATGTTTTTGACGAAATAAGATGAAAGTCAATTTTACTTGTTTAATCTTTTAATGCATTATATGACTCAAGGAATTCATTGTGAAATGGAGAATTAGCGTTATTTACCCTGTGAGGAACATGAACAAGAAAGCATGATTAACTTGAATTGTTCTTGATTTTTTCGTTTATTTTTGTTAGGTTATGGTTAGTATAGAGTTGAAGTGACATATATCAAAGATACGCCTCTGCACTGCACCAGAAACACGGTTTTAATTAGTATTTGGATTTACATCTTCTGAATTAAATCTAGTATAGATTCACTCTGCAATGTATGTCTTGAGGATACTCGTAGAAAACGTGTTTTAATTTGTAGTCATTTCCAAATCGCTTTCAGTTGTTATCGTCTCTAGACTCTTCTCTTCTCGCCAAAATATTATCCCAGATTTAATATTTGGTTTTTTATTTACTCTCAGTTTTGTTTCTCAATAAAGGCGAATAAAAAATAAATCAATTTATTACATCATTTCACCAATGAATGTCTACTCTATTTTACCGCTCTTTGGTTTGTCAATTTAATTCTACGAATTAATCACCAACGAAAAAGTAAACAAACACTTGAATTATACCATACAATTGGACAACTGCCCAAAATCGAGATACTTGCCACAAAATCCTATCATAATTACATCAATTTTCATCCTCTGAAAATCTAGTTTACATTTCTTTGGTTCCAATCACGTTATTGCTTACTTTTAACAAAATATTCCTTTGAGCTCTAGTTAAAATTAATTTACTAATACAAAAGTAATAACGAATTCTTCGTTTTATTGCATTTCGTTTTGATATGAAATTTATGTTCTCTGAAGTCCATTGAACATGTTTTGAGTCACTCACACTAATCGTAGTACATCAGTGATTCATAAAATTACGAGAAAATAGCTAGTAGTAAAAAAAGTATCTCAGAAAAAATGTTACAAACTTTTAATGCCTAAAAGGCTTGGCTCTAGATTGATAAGCAACTTACCATGTTCTGGTGTTTGGTAGGAATACGTTTTGTCGCAAAGACGTTTTGTGTTCCTCCCATTGGCAATGCATGGGCCGGCATGCCTTTTACGCCCTAGAAATTTGTAACATATATTCTGAGACATCGTGAAGAAGAGTGACTTGTCAATGGTTAAAATAATGAAACTCATGGCACATTTTGGCCAACTTTAACATATGTTTACTTCATTTATCTTTCCAGGTTGCATTTCTTTCCTTTATTAATTCAAAATAAATTTTGGTAATGGACTGAAGCCTTAAATAATAACTATTATGAGTTTTGAAAATTAAAATGATGTACTACAGTTATTATGAGTGAATTTCATGCATTAAAAGACGTATTTTGAGAACCGAGCTTCAGCAAATCGTCCTTCTGGTCAAACGTATAGGAGAACGGAATGCTATCTTGAGAATTTGCCCAATAAAAGTCTGCAACGAAGAAAGTCTTGCGAGAAAAGTTGTTCCTGTAGTTACGTACGCCCTGGATTGCAAACATAATCTTTAGTTGAATAAAAAGGCGTACGTAACTGCCACAAAATGTCCTTATGCACTAGTGCATAGCCTAATCCACAGTCACTCGAGTACATTTTACGTAATCTGTAGCGTATTGACTGTGCACTTGTACACAATTTGAATGTGATGGCGAGTACGTCGCATGATGTGTGTGGGTTCTTCGCGCTCTCGCGACCGCGTTGGTCCGCTCCCTGCCTCGCCGTTCTCTCCACAATGTCTTTTTTGGCTCGCCCTTTGGAGAGACACACGTCCCGGCGTTTCACACGCTTCCTCCGCTGCGCAGGAGACACGTGGCTCCTGCGATCACAAGACTCCTCCTCTGATTACGAGGCACGTATCTCCGCTGATCGCGATATTCGTTCCTTCGGTCGGGACACTGAACGTGCCATTGCTTGAGTTAAGATGCCAGACACGTGCCTTTATCTATCAAATGACGTGCCCGCTCCTCAGACACCACGTGTGTTCGTTGATCTGAAAAGTCACGTCACCCCTCCTCAGAAGACGCATCTTCGCTCTTCTGAAGCCCGTGTGAATCTTCGTCGCCCGCCCCCGCGCCGGGGAGCGTTCAGAACTCGGCGGCGCGCGCCACGCGCAGCAGCGGGGAGCGTCACAGGCTGCTGCCGAACTCGCTGGAGCGCCGCCGGTCGATGTGCTTGAGGTACGTCTCCGAGTAGATGGAGCGCGTGCGCTCGTCATAGCGCAGCGAGTGCCGGCGCACGTCCAGCGCCTCCAGGTCCGACGGCTCGCGCTTGCAGTAGTTGCAGAAGGCGCACTGCAGCGTGTTCTTGAACGCCTCCCGGAAGTCGCGGTTGAAGTACGCGTAGATGATGGGGTTGAGCGTGGAGTTGAAGTAGCCGATCCAGAAGACGAGGGTGACGACGATGTCGGGGCACGGGCAGAGCTCCTCGCCGCACAGCACGGTGCTGACGTACCACAGGAAGAAGGGCAGCCAGCACAGGATGAAGGTGCCCATGATGATGCCGAGCGTCCGCGCCGCCTTGTGCTCGCGCTTCATCTTGATGATGTTGCGGTCCTTGGTGGGCGTGGAGTGGGCGGTGGGGTCGCCGCCCGGCGCCTGCACCTCGTGCAGGGTGAGCGCCTTGCTGCTGCCGCCCGCCGCGGCGCCCAGCCCGGCGTCGCCGTTGCTGCTGGCGTAGTCGCGGCTGTTGCGGTGGTTGTTCATGAGCATGGCGTTGCCGATGCGCGAGTGCAGCTGCTTCTCCTGGCGGTTCGCCTCCTTGAAGATGGCGTAGTACGTGAACACCATGATGGTGCACGGGATCCAGAAGGAGATGGACGACGACACCACCGCGTACACTTTGTTCACGATGAACGCGCACTCGTCCGGGTGGGTCTCGCGGTACTTTTGGTTGGAGTCCGTGGTGTACCACCCCATGAAGATGGGCACGAAGGAGATGATGGCGGAGGAGATCCACGTGGCGAGGATCATGACGGCCACCCGCCGCTTCGTCATGTTGATGGGGTACTTGAGCGGCGTCACGATGGCGTAGTAGCGGTCCACCGAGATGCAGCACAGGTGGAGGATGGACGCCGTCGAGAAGTACACGTCCAGAGAGTTCCACACGTCGCACATAAAGAACCCGAACAGCCACCTCCCCGAGAGCTGTACGCTGGCGTTGAACGTCATCGCCACCATGGCCACCAGCATGTCCGCGAACGCCAGCGACACCACGAAGTAGTTGGTGATGATGCGCAGTTTGCGGTGTCGCATCACACTCACGATCACCAGCAGGTTGCCCAAGATGGCGGCGACGATGATGGACACCATGACGCAGCCCTTGAGCACGAGGAGGACCATGTCGGCCCACTCCTGGTCGTCCGGGTCGAGGCCCGGGGCGGAAGAGGGGAGGCCGGTGGCGTTGTCCAGCCCCAGCGGCGGCAGCCCGGGCCCCGCCGCCGCCGCCGCCGCCAGCCGCCCTTCCAGCTCCGTGACTAGCGGCGCCGCCGACGCCATCCCATACTCCGCACGGCCGCCGCGAGAGTCGCTGCTGGGGCTGCTGCCGATGAGGCTCCTAGTGGAACGGCTGTGGCACGCCTAAGGGAAGACGGCGGGCGCCCTGTAACACACAATGTACAAGCGCTCGTTAGCGGAATCAGCAACTCATTGCAAACCTGTGTAACATTGCGACATACATATGACATTCAAATGACTTTTTTTTGCTCAGGCCGAATTTCGGCCCAGAAGCTGCAAGCTCTGAGGATGATCGCTACGCGATCGAAATGATCATTAGTGGAATTAAAATATTGATACCTGACAATATCTCTATTTATTTATCAAAATTACATTTGTAGAAATATAATATAGTCAGTACATCCTCTAAATTTTAAAGTTGAATAGAAAAATAAAGAGCTCATATTTAAATAGGTGTACCTTGAGGTTACAAATCTAAATGTAATACAACTAAAGATTTTTCAATCTTTCTTTGCAATACACATTTAGTTGAAACATTGGGCATAATTAATATTTAATTGTACGTATACACTTTAACAAGGTACTGACTGTTTTCTATATATTCTTTGGAATATTTGCAAAACATCATACTATTGCAAAGAACTGGCATTTATTATTTGTTTATTTCGTATTCTTCGTAGGTTGAGTTCTTACCAAAAATATTAGAAGCGATAACAGGGTAGAGAATTGATGAAAATGTTGGACAACGCTGAACTAACGTCACTCAACTGGTGATAGTTAAAAAATGTCCAAAATGGGGGCCAAAAAACGGCGTGCATTTCAAAGCAAATGGTAAATATTTCTTAAAACGGTTTACAAGAATAAAACGTGTTCGTACGAATAAATGAAACAGTTAATATTTTCGTTAATTTGTTTCACTAAAATTTTCACGAGCATCTTATAGACCTACGTCGAAAAACATTTTTTTATGCCTAGGTTGAACACAAAATTTTATAGACTATAAACAGTCCGTAAATTGTTACTTTAAAGCTGAGAGTAAAACCTCGTTTCTAGTGTTTTATCATCATTATTATTCTGGTTACTTTTCAATTTGTATTGAGAAATTGTAGTTTATTACATGCTTATAAAAATTGCTTGGATGAGAAAATTTGCTTGTTTACGGTAGTGATGATACAGTAATTCTTTCAATTTCGCGATCGTTCATTTGTAATTCTAATAAACAATAATTTCGAATTGCTAGTGAAAAGGACGCAATCTCTCACAACGCCCCGCACGTCTCATTAAAATCGCCGATAGCGTCGATCTCGTACCTCCATTCTCGCGGGCGGTTACTCGTGGAAAGGGCAGCCGAGCCGTTATTGCGCTTCGGGCGCTGCAGGGCGGCGAGTGCGAATTCGCGTGTCGGCTCCGCGCCGAACAAATTAAACCGCGCTTGAAATTATCTGGCGTTGGGCAGCGCGTGCGGAGGTCACAGGTGCCCCCTCCTCTTGTCGACCGGGTGCTGAGGGCGCGAGGCGCCGCGAAGGTCAAGGGCGAGAAAATTCTGCCTGCGCTTCGTCTGGGGCCACAGCGGATAAGCGAGACCTGGAGGCCTGGTCAAGGACTGGAGAAACGCGACCTAGTTTGTTGCGGTCCACAACAGATTAAAAAAAAATTAGGTTAATATTTTATACTTGAAACAAAAATGCAAATTCTTCATATGTTTGGGAGACAAAGGAATGTATAAAGCTAAGGACACAGCGTCTTATCTACAGTCGGTGTCGAGCTTTGCACATCTCCCTCTAGTCAGATAACACACATCCTGTCAAACTCTCAGTGTTTTACTCCTTTTTCTTATCTATATTTTTAGTGAGGTATGCGTGTTTCTTGAAATTAGTAGTGCAGCCCTCTCCTTCATTTCAAAACATAAAAGTGGCCCATGGAGAGCAAGAAGCTGGCCAGGCCATCCCTGATCTATACGAATCGACGTGAACATTGATTTTTAAATACGACCATTCATTTCCACCATCTCCTAAAATAGAACACCTACTAAGTTGCATGTAATAGTCAATAGAGTGCGCGTAGGGGGACAGGGATGGCCTTGTCTGTGACTTCCTAAAACGTTTCAAAGACACCCAGTAGCCTTCCGTAATCAAATATTTTATTTTCGTGAATTCGTTGGAACCCTCATTTTTCCTTAGTGCCAGGGAGGCAAAACAAAGCATTCAAAATTCTTCGAAATTTCTTATAATGGAAATTATTGACCTGGAAAAATCTCGGACAATGGTTTTATCCAAAGATTTTCAGTTGGAATGTTTCCAGTGAATTATTTAGTCACTTTTTGACGTATGGTTACATTTGATCCCACCAGACCACCTGTTTTAAAAGCAGTTCCGATTTCTCGACTTTTTAATCTACGCCAGAAACTTAACGTATAATAATCTAACTATGGATCAATATCAGGATGAACATTATTTTATGTTAGCAGCACTTCATCCCGGCTATACTAATTCTGTTTCTTATCGTTGCTGGATACCACAGCAAATATTGTCATAGCACGGCGACGTGTGATCAATTCATAGTTTCGCTGTCATACAAACTTAATCACATAAGGTTATCTATCATGATACATGTACTTGCCTTACAACCCCCCCCAAAAAAAACAATATATTCATTTGGGATGAAGGTGGCTAGCTGTCACTTACGTCTTCGTAGGTGGCTTTTAGGCTCCGGCCTTGGACTTTGTAATTTACATAAATGACACACATCACATTGAGTCTCTATAAGGTATAATTTCCAACATATTTTGTTGCAAAAAAGTCATTCAAAAAGCGTTCAAGTCGGGGATCAAACCCCTTGTCATGGAGACAGACGGGCTTGCTACCAGTATCGCCACCGGACCTAATACCCCGAAACATTACTAAGCCTCCTGCGCCTACGATCATAACCTCACGCGGTGAACTTCGTGAACACGTCTACCACGAGACATTCGCCGTGTATCCCACCACCCGCGTACGTCCTGGCGCGAGCACCGGTCCATCGGAGGGCGCGAGGGAAGCGCGTGTGCATTGTTTTCGCCCCTAGAGCCGAAACGTTCAAATCAGCAGCGGCCGACAAAGTGGAAATAACGGTTGGTTGCTCCTATTTCATGCGTTTGTGGAGTTGTGCACGCGCGCCCCG